AAGTGATCAAATGATTTCCTCTTATGTAGATGGACAATCAATACTCATGGTGTTAGCAGTCAAGAAATCAAAAGACTTGTTGAAATCTGCTGCCAGGGACCTCTCCAAAGGCCTTCAAGAGCAAGGATGCTAGTTTAAGGACTAAGGTGTGTCCAAACAAAGCCATATTTCAATTGCTTTTTATGACTCTGAAAGTTTTCGAATGAATAAGGATGAAGAATGATATGCCTTTGAGATCTGTGGTGTTGGAGAAGAGGACCGAATATCTCATGGACTTCCAGAAGAACATAGAAGTCTGTCTTGGGGGAGAGTGCACCCAGGGTGTGGACGCAAGATTGGGGACACTTGGTCTCTTAGACTTGGGGCAAAAGCTCAGGATGAGAAGGACATCCTGTTGGGGAAGGTGGAGGGTCAGAGAGACAGAAGGGGAGTCCGTCCAGGAGATGGATGGACATGGTGACCATAGCCATTCGCTGGAAAGTGTCAGAGACGGTCAGGACAGGACAGGGCTCAGAGCTGCTGTCCACAGGGTTGCTGTGGGTCTGAGTCCAGTTGATGGCACCCGACCACTTCGACCTTACCAAGAGCAAGCTGCTACGTCTTCTATCTCCCAGATGGAGTTGTACCTTCAAGCTTTCAGTGAGCATCTGAGAGGTTAACCACAGTCCCAGCAAGGTCCTGGGATGGGGCAGGGGTGGGAGGACTGTGGAGAAGAGAGAACACGCCGGACAGAACAAGTGGTGGGAATGTGGGAAGCTCACCTTTGTAGATACCGTTCCAGCCTCCGTATTGGTGACCTCCCAGCTGTGACTCGAGAGACCCGCCGTGATCGGAGGTGAAATAAACCAGCGTCCTGTTGGTCAGGCCTTCTCTGTCCAGAGATTCCAGGATCTGGCCTGCACACAGGGCACAATGAGAGAGAATAGAGGAGAGAGAGAGAGACAGAGAGAGAGAGAGAGACAGAGAAAAGAGAGACACAGAAAGAATGAGAGAGACAGAGAGAGAGACAAACAGAAAGACACAAAGAGAGAGAGAGAGACAAATAGACATGCAGAGAAAGAGAAAAGGAGAAGAGAGAAAGAGAGACAGACAGAGAGACAAACAGACAGGGACAAAAGGACACAGAGAGAAAGAGAAACAGGCATACAGAGAAAAAGAAAGAGAGACAGACAGAGAGAGACAAACAGAAAAAGACAGAGAGAAAGAGAGACAAATAGAGACAGACAGACAGAATAGGAAAAAGAGAGACAGAGAGAGAAACACACAAACAGAGAGAGAAAGAGAGACAGACAGAAAAAGAGAAAGAGAGACAAAAACAGAGAGACAGGGAGAAAAGGACACAGAGAGAAAGACAGACAGACAGAGAGAGACAGAGAGAGAGAGAGAGACAGACAGAGAGACAGAGAAAAAGAGACAGAGAGACACACACATAGAGACACAGAGAGAGACAGATGGAGAGAAAGAGAGACAAACAGAAAGAGAGACAAATAGAAAAGGATAGAGACAGACAGGGAGAAAAGGACACACAGACAGAAAGAGAGACAGAAAAAGACAGACAGAAAGAGAAAGAGAGAGACAGACATAGAGAGAGACAAACAGAGAAAGACACACAGAGAAAGAGAGACAGAAAGAGGAAGAGAGGGAGATAGAGAGAGAACACAGAATAATAAAATATCTTATATTTGAACAATTGCTTTAACTGATAAATAAATATCTCTGCCTTAGCTTAAGGGATGCTCAAAATCAGAAAGCCGGTCAATATTCTCAAGTGACAGAGCCTGGCTTAAAAGTGATTCTAAAATGTCACTGCACAGCCGTTTATTAATCAGTTAAACCCCTCGCTTGTCATGAGTCTGTCTTGGGTGCATGCATTTCCTCTCCAAGGAATCTTACACATATTTTAAGCACACATTAAAAAATGCCAGGAATACAACAATGAATACTTTTTATAAATTAAAAAAAAGGGGGGGAGACACTGGGCAGGGGTTGCAAGGAAAACGTGCAACCATGAATGAATGAAAAGCGAACATTTCTGTGAACTTTTATGAAAATCATCGTCATAAACACCAGCAAAGGTGATGCTCAGTAAAGTATCTCCTTGCAAGAAGTACAAAATACGGCATCACATCACTGTTATAAAATAGGACAGATGTGGGTGGGGGTCTCTGGGGAGAGAATGGGAGAGGAAGGGACAGAGAATGATTTATCTGCTGCATTAGGTCAGATACAGAGAAGCACTGTTTGAAACGAATTTATTGATAAGCATATTATATAACTGCATACAATTTGGGATAAGGGCTGCATTGCAGGGTGGGCTGGTGGAAGGAAAAAATTGGCAACAGTGCATAAAAAGAAAGAAAAAAAATAACAGAGCAGGAAAGCTTAGAAAGTGAGCTTTATAATGGTTTGGTGTCAGATTTGTTCTGTTGGCCGTCGATGGACTCTTCAGCCCTCAAGGAAACACTGAGAAAGGTGAGCATCAAAGCTGTTTCTTGTTTCAATCTGTGTGTTGAACCAATAATTTGAACTGCTACACTTAATGAAAAAAAGAAATGCATGGCGTCAGGATCCGAGGAAGACCTGTCCGCCACCTGTGTTTGTGAGAAGGCCTTGAAACAATGAGCAGATTAAAGATTTCAGCCTTTAATATGACTTATGATGTGACAACGTCGAGAAAATAAGGATCCTTCCCCACAGGCGCCAACAGACAATGTCACGATGAATGTAGAAAATAGTGTCACCGTCAAGTTCAACTTCCTTTGACCCACCGTCCACAGCCTGGGCACCAGCAGTCAAGAAATCAAAATATTCAACCCCACAGTGGGAAAGTCTGCTATCAGGGACCTCTCCAAAGTACAGAGGAGCAAGGATGTTAGCTTGAAGACTAAGGTGCATCTGTTTCAAGCCGTGGTCTTGTCAATCACTTTCTTTTTTTAAAATTGGACAGGGACTAGAGATGACAGGAAAAGAATGGATACCTTTGCTTTAGGGTGTTTGAGAAGAGTATTGAATATCCCAGGGACAGGGTCAGAGACACAGAGAAAGACCCTCTAAGAGACAGATAACAGAGTGACCGCAGCCATGGTTTGCAGCCTGTCAGAGAGGGCAGGACAGGACAGGAGTCAGATGTGTTTGTTCACAGAGTCACTCTGAACTGACCTGAAGGCATCTCACAATGACATGTTCTAGTTGACTTTACAGACCTGAGTTGGTTGGGGAGCTGTCTGGCCTGGGCTGTGTGTCTTGGTATTGGCTTTTCTGGTGTCCAGGGGCAGCGGTCACTCACCTACCATCCAGTCCATCTCCTCCACATTGTCACCGTACTGCCCATGCTGGCTCTGCCCCAGGAAGCTCTCGGTGGTGACCAGGGGCACGTGGACATGCAGGAAAGACATCCAGAGCAGAAAAGGGCCATGCTTGTTTCTGAAAAGGGGAACAGACATTAGGGACAGTGAAGCGGTCAGCTCTTTAAAGGACGCCTCTGAGAACTTGATTCATGTCCTCAGATCCCACGTCAGAAACTCGTAGAAGGATGTTTGCCTTTTTATAAGAAGAGGAAATGAAGTAAAATAGCAATTTTTTGTTTGATCCCGGGTTTTGGCACCAAAAAAAGCAATTTTGCTGTTGTTGTTGATTGCCTTCAAGTTGAGTAGGACTCTTAGCGAGCCGATGAACAAAAGGCCTGAAGCCCATCTACAAATATCGAAATCTATCATAGTTCACAGAATTTCCAAAGGCATGTGGTTTAGGAAGCAGATGCCACTCCTAATGCATACATAAAAATAAAATGGAATTAAAAACATTCAATGCAAACATCAAATAAGTGAGCAAAACGAAGAGAAAAGAAAATGAGCCCTCTCAGCATCTTTTCTCATTGCCTTTCTGTGGGCACCAACCCTCTGTCTTTCTATCTTGAAGCAGCATGTGAATGCGAATGAAATTTGAAAGGAAATAGCTACAAACATCTTGAATCGCTGGCAGAGGAAAGGTATCAAGTATGAATGTTGGAAGAGTAGACGTCAAAAAATGAAACGGCACACACAAAGAAATAATTACATGAATGTCAAGATGATAAAGGTTTGTGTCACATCCTTTGGGCCATGCGGTGAGGAGAGGCTATTCCTTGGAGAAGGACATCATGCTTGGAAAGGTGGAGGGTCACAGAAAGAGAGGAAGACCCCCCCATGAGAAGGTAAGACATGGAGCTGCAATCCCAAAGGCACTCGGTTCAAATCCACCAGCCGCTCTGTGGGAGAAGGGTTCGCAGTCTCCTCCTGTGTGATTAAGTGTCTCTGAAAAACCAGAGAGGGTCAGCTTTGGGTTGGTTTTGATTGGATGGTACACAACAACAATAACAAGGAGTTGCACTGACAATACAAAGTTACAAAGTTCAAATCCACCCTCTCCTGTCACGGCACGTACAGCCTCTCAAAACCAGAGGGAGGGTCAGCTGTGAATCGGTTCTGACCTGATGGTCCATGTCAAAAACACAAATAAAAAGGAGAGTGAAACACCCAATAATGTTACTTTTATAAGAAAATAAGCTTCAATGAAAAATAAGATCAGTGAATGCAGTAACAATTAAAAAGAAAGAAAATACAACAAAATGTAAAAAAGAAATAAGATTTTAAAAGAACATAAATTAAAAAAACTGGAAATAAAAAAGAACACAAACTAAAAGACACTGAAATAAGAAAAAAATTAAAACATGGAAATGAAAT